CCCTCCCCCTCACCCCCCTCGACATCCTCAGCATGATGAACCTCTGCCCGTACGAAACGGCCGTTCTCGGCTCCAGCGCCTTCTGCGCCCTCTTCACCCCCCCCGAATGGTCCTCCTACAGCTACCAACTCGACCTGCAATTCTACGGCGACTACGGTTTCGGTTCCCCCAGCGGCCGCGCCCAAGGCATCGGGTACATCCTGGAACTCTCCGCCCGACTGCAATCGCACCTCATCACCTCCCCCATGGCAAACATCAACATCACCTACGATAATAACACATCTACCTTTCCCCTCCATCAACCCCTCTATATGGATATGTCGCATGATGATGTGATTGTCTCGGTCCTGGCGGCGCTGGGCATGGAGTATTTTAATTTTGGACCGGAGGGGATGCCGGGGAATATTACGGGGGATCAGGTGCCGCGGAATCGGACGTTTCGGTTGAATGAGATTGCGCCGTTTGGGGCGAGATTGGTGACGGAGGTGTGGAGGTGTCCGGGGGAGGTGGTGGAGGGTGGATTTAGGGAGTTGGGGGAGGGGGTGTATGTCAATCCGGATTTGAGTGGCGTGGAAGGGACCGGGGAGTTTGTGAGGTGGGTGTTGAATGAGAGGCCGGTGCCCGTGGTGGGGGTGGTTGGGTGTGAGGGCGCGAAGAATGGGTTTTGTCCCCTGGAGGGGTTTTTGGGGGGCGTGCCTAGTATGTATCGCAAGGCGCGGTATGATGAGGCGTGTGAGGTGGGGGTAGAGGGGAGTGGGATGGTGGGGGATGGGTGTCCAGAGTAGATTGTTTAGTAGGACTCCGGAGGAGGGTATTTTAGATGTCGTGATGTAGAATAGATGGAGCAGTGTATGGAGCAGTGCATGAGTAGTGTATAAATGAATCTATAAATCGCAAGGGTATCTAGCTTCTCAGCTGCGCATCTATCGCTACCAACGATCAACAAAGCAAGCACTGATTAACGGTGGACTAAATGCCAGCTTTAGTCGCCAGAACAGAACACAGGTACCGCGGCGCCCGATTAAATATGTAGGATATCAGCTAGCTGTCCAGCTCGCCCTCCGAAGGCGTGTCCTCGCTCGGACTCGACGGCCGAGACTGAAATTGAGACTGCTCCTCGAGCTCGCGCAGCTCGCGCAGCTCTAGCTCGTGCAGCTCTTCCGGGTTGAGCACGCGGCCGCCCAGTTGCACGTCGTTCACATGCACATTGTATTCCAGAGCTCGCTGCGCTTCTTTGATCAGTTCTTCCGTCCAGCCCAGACACCGCTTCAGGCTCTGGTTCATTCGCTGACTGTCCGCGAGGAGCTCCTGGTGTTTTGCCAGATCAATCAGAAACCGTTTCTCGTCTCGCGCCCGATGCTGCGTGTCCGGGTCGGCCTGCGAGTCGGGACTGATCACTCCGTCATCCACGGATTCTTCGTCGCTAAAGTCGGACAGCTCTTCCGGTGATCGCACCGACGAGTGTTCGCTGCCCTCCGTGATCTCAGCCGGGATCGAGAGAGCGTCCGACACGGACCGACTGGACGGCGCCATGGATAGACGGCCCGAGCGACTGAGGCGGCGGTATCGGCGCAGCTCCGCGTTCTGCTTCCGCATCTCGCGTTCGAGCGTGCGGTTGATGGCGAGAAGCGATGAGTTGCTGATTTCCAGATCGAGGATCTTCCGCTCCGTCCGCGCATTATTCAGGGCGACGCCATTGCCCTGTCCGCTTTCCGACTTGGACGGGCTCTGCATCCCCGAATTATGTGTGTCCACCGAAGCAATAGACCCATTGCTAAACACCCGCGGTCGAAGACCCGGGAGTGGCTCCGACGCAATGTTGTTGGCATCCAGCCGGGGTTCCGACGGGGAGATGATAAGCGGGCTTGGCCGTAGCGGTTCCCGCTGAGGGGGAGACAGCCCACTGTTGGCCGAGTCGAGACTCGACGATTTGATGTGTCGCACGGCGGGAATCGGTCGCGCGGATACGCTGCTCAGCGGTGGACTGTGACCCTGAGATCCGGTTTCAAATGAATCGTCTAACTGGGACCCCACTTGGGAGGGGCCGTCTGACAGCCGCGGGTTCGAGTCGACCCTGGCCGGTCGCAGCCGCGGCGACGCAGACGGTTTCGCGGACACCACCGATCGCGTCAGGCCCGTCGACCGGCGTTTGTAGTTTGTACCACCAAGCTCACTCACAGCAGTCTGTCGTTCTTGTGCCCCGTTGGCGTAGACAAAGGTGGTGGCGGAAGGTTTGCTCTGCAGTTTCGGTCGGGGCTCCTGTTCAGAAATCGTCGACCGTGCATCCGACGCATGGAAGAACATGGGTGCCCCGGACGAATTGTCCGACGACGAATTCGGTCGGGAAAGATGGTTGGACTCGATCGTCACCGTCCTGGCCCGGGTTGTCCTGGCTGGTTCCAGCATTCCCCCGCGAACCGGACTCCGCTCCGTCCGGAGTCGCCCCGTATTTGACACCTGGCCCACATGTGGTTGTGCCCAGGAGACCTGTGGTGATTGTGACCCATTCGTGGGGGTGTTGTTTGGGGAGGTGACGGCACCATCGCGTCTGCTGTTGCGGGAGCCGGAGCGAGGGGTAACATTGGCACTGAGCAGGGATGGCTCGGGATCCCGCTTGGAGGGGGCGGACGAGGGATGTTCGGAGGGGGTCAGACGTTTGGGAGTGCGATATCCACCGGGGGTGGCTAGCCGGGGAGTGAGAGGAGTTTTCTGAGAGCGATGAAAGGCAGCACTGAGGGCGGGTGTAAGTGGTTTGCCGAGATGGCTGCCGTTTTGTTTATCGGCAGCGTTCATAGTTGCGGGAGTCGAGGGGCGGAAAGGAGAGCGACTCATGGCATTGCGACAGTGCTCGAGAATCTGCAAGCATGATGGCACCAGCCAGGCGACAGCGGAATCCAAGACCGTCCAGGGAGGTTGGAGGAGGGCACCGCTGAGGCTGGAGGAGGCGAAGCGAAAGAAAATCGGGTGGGATGACGACGAGGTGCGTTGAATTTGTTGTCAACACCGCCAGAAGCCGAGGAGCAGCCAGTGGAATTATAATGTTTGGGTGCAAAAACATCCCCGCCCAAATCCGGCTAGTCTCTCTCCTCTCCTGCCGCCCCTTTCACCGCAACTGTTCAACCCGACTTGCTTTTCTGACTTTGTCGTCGCATTCCCATCATCACCCCCCTGCCATTTCCCTCCAGCCTCGCTGCACTCCTGTCCAGCGGCATTTGATCCCCTCGTCAACGCAAGATCTCCCCCAACGCGGGTGCCCTTGCGTGTTGCAGCCCCAGGTTGCATGGGCTGATGCGCCGCCCCGGCGACCCATGGGTGAAGCCGGAGCTGCGGCTCAGTAACCGGACAACCACGGCGATCACCCCATCCCCGAAGTCCGGAGTATATCCTCTGGCCTTCGCATGACAGATGCGAAGGATTACCATTTGTCCGATTCATGCGGGTGTTATCATCTGAGATCGGGTCGATCCCCGGGGGATCATAACAATGGTATCCATGGCGAGCTGCCCACACGTGATGCTCATCGTGGCTGCAAGGGGCCGATGCTCGTCCCTCCGCCACGTTTGACCCTGACGACTGCTCGACTCCACATTCCATCATCTTGTCAATCTGGGAATCGACAGCCCGGTTGTCTCAGATAAATCCCACTGTCTCAGATGCGTATCCGCTGGATTCTGTCATTATACTACAGCTGAGGCACAAGAAAATTGTCAGAAACTGATTTGACTCTACACATCGAAGTCGTAAATACTAAGCGACGGGTGATACGTCCCTAGCAGTGCTGATGCGAACTTGCAAATACGAGTCCACAAAAACCCATTTTGCAGAATAGATCATTCCAACTGGATCTCTAGTCTAATAATAGCTATTATGCAAGCCCTTTACTATATATAGAAATGTCCAGCAATATCTAATCTACCAACCTCCGTTCAAATTAAACAAACACCTCACCCCCACCAATTATAGAAAATGCCTCTAGAACGCGCAAATTCCAGACACCTCTATTCCGGCTCAGTATCGGATCTGTTCCTATACCTATCATCGCTCAGATGTGATCTCTCAAATCAGGAGCAGTGCCCAACTGATCGAGGAATGTCGGTTGCGTTGGCTGAACCGATCCAGGATGCAATGCCGCTGGCTTCTAGTATCATCCACATGGAATGTTACGCTGCCCCATGGCTTTTTTGTCGCCCAGGGATTGCTGCTGAGGTAGTATGACCGGGTCGTTCCAGCGACCATGAGCAGATCAACTACAGGCTAAGAGCCAGTTCAGCCCAAGCGCGTTGGTGTCTTATTTGCTCTTATGAAAAGAACAAGCGTTTCTGTCGCGGGTCTGGCGATTCTGGGGCCGTCGTTCTCCTCTTGCGCGACATTGATGCAGCCGAGGCCTCAGGCACATGATCATTTGACGCAACCTGAACAGCCTCCTTGATGGTCTGTCTCGACAGACAATAGTCCACATGATCATTAAAACCGCGATCATCCGCCACCTGAGGTTTGGAGCAGATGGGGCACTCCCAATACACAGGCTGCGGTGACGCATCGGCAACAGTCGACTGCTCATCGGATTTCGGTTCTGCAGACTCGGCTACTTCCTGACTGAGCTTTTCCAAGTCATCGAGTTCCTCCTGTAGCTCCTCGCGAGCAGCCCTCTCGAACGTCTCCTCTGCCCCCATCTCCGGTTCAGCAGGAAGGTCGATCGACAGCTCTGAAGTCGGCTTTGGGCGTGCAGTGAAACCGAAGAGCTCGATGCCAACCTTCTTCGTACTCACAAGATTGGTGCAGCGAAGGCCGAGGAGTCGGAGCTTCAGGTCGGGAATGTCCTTTTCAAGCTTTTCCAGCATTGGGAGGGAGAACGCGTAAAGGTCTTTGGCAGTCGAGACTGCCCTCGGAGGCTGGCATTGTCGCGACAAAACCTCAAAGGTAGCCAGCTTGACTTTGAGAACAAGCGTGCGGCCTTTGAACTCGGTTCGCGCCAGGTCCTTCTCAAGCTCCTCGGCGATCGACCATAGCTTTGCTCGGAACTCCTCCTTATTCCCGATTTCATGAAACGTCCGCTCGGTTCCCACGCTCTTTCGCTCATAGTTTTCCACTGGCTGAATCTTCGTTCTCCCCAAGCCGAGATAGCACTGTACCAGGAAATGAAATGCTTTTTCGCCAAATAGCTTGGTCAAAATGGCACGCTGGGGATAGATGTCTCCACATGTTTTGATTCCGATTGCATCAAGCTCGCGTTCGAAGACACGACCAACGCCATTCACCTTGCGGACAGGTAAATCCTGCATGAATTTCATGATCGCATCTCTGTCATTAGGTACGCAGAACTGGCCGTTCGGCTTGTTCTTATTTGACGCGATCTTGGAAATCTTGGCATTCGCTGCAATGCCTGCGGATACCGAGATCTGTGTCTTTTCCAGAACTTCTGCTCGCATGCGCTGGACTGCTTCCTCTGGGTCGAGTTCATTTTCAATACAATATGCAGTCATGTTAAGATAAGCCTCGTCGATGCTAGCACTCTCGAACATGGGATCGTACTGTGCGAAGATCGCGCGGATCTCCTTCGCTTTGGCAGTATACTTGTCATAGTTCTGAGGCAAGCAGATCAATTGAGGGCAGAGTTTCTTCGCCACGAAGGATGCCATGCCACTCCGACAGCCGAACTTTCGGGCCTCATAGTTGCATGTCGTCAGGACCCCCTTGCCGACCGCCATAGGAACGGTTTTCAACTCAGGGCGGTCGAGTTCTTCGACTGCGGCAAAGAAAGCATCGCAGTCGACGTGGACGACATGTTGCGATAAGTCCCGGGTTAGTTCGAGTTCCGCGATAAGCTGGTCAGCGCGTCGTAGATCAGCCGACAGATCCAACTTTTCGAGCCGGGCTTTCTCCTTCAGAATACGTTCGATCTTGATTGTCAAGACCTTGTCGCGATTTTGCTCGTGATTGAAGAATTTCGAGCCCTTGGACGCGTTATAGATAATTTCGGATACCTGTCGCCGTTAATCTCTACCTTAGAATCAGGACCATGCCCGCTCACTTTGCGCTGATCCACAGCATCCTGACCTGCCTTGGTCAAAGATGGTCCTAGCAGCTGGTATTTCAAGGTTTCATAGTTCTCAGCAGACTCCGCACCGGTGGAAAGCTTTCCATCATCACCCGGCTCATCGCCCGAAGGCTCCATATTGGATGGGTAGAAACGACGTTATCTCCCTGGTCGGCCGGGAAGCCATACCCAAGCAGGCAGCTATTGCGACGCCTGATCACGTGAACACGCGTGGCGGGCCGTGATGACAACTCCGATCCGACGGGGAACCATCTTGCAGCTAGGCACATAACCGCCATGTGGATCCTGGACTCGGAGGGAGACTTCCTTGGTGGTGAGCGTCTTGCGTCTACCACCCTTATAGTTCTGGCTGACTTTCCAGCAAGGCAAGCGCGTGTGGCTGCGACCGGGGAAGAAGTATCTCTTCGGTCGGATCAAGCAAGATGGCGGTAATTTGCACTCCAATCACTGGTCGATATCATGCTGACCTTCTCTCGACGCAGTTCGTCATGCCATCGATCACAAGTCCATCTCACGAAAGCATATGGTGATTGAGGTATCACCGGTTAAACCAGGCGATGGAGTACGATCCTCCGATTCTTCCTGCGTCCTCCGCTAACCCGTTAGTCGCATATCTACAGCAGATCGAAGATTGCTGTGTGTGACTTGAAATCAAAGTGTGGCACAGTCGTGGATGGAAACACAATCAAGGATGTGCGCAAAGAGTTGACCGGAGAGGAGCACGAAATCAAGCTGGGGAGATACGAGTACATGCTCCGGTAAATACTTATGCTCTACTATTGCTGAAAGTTGCATGATCCGGCAGGTAGCTAACACAGCGCGGCTTAGGATCAAGTGGCAGCCTACCGTGCTCAGCTTCTCCTTTTCGTCCAAGGAACTCAAAGCGAAAGATCCTTTAGCACAGGTCCGCGCCCGAGTCGAGGACCTGGATATCAAGACAGTCGTCCCGTACGTGGTCGATCAAACCACACACGTCGTGCAGAACAAGCGGAATACTGCCAAGGGTCTACAGGCACTGGTGAATGGAAAACATATTGTGCAGGATTCGTATATCGATGCGTTGGTATATGCCGCGACCCCGAGTGACCTGGAGAACCTTGAATCGTTCTCCCCGCTGGAGGCCGATTTCGACTCGGCATGGCCTGATGCGATGGCACATCTCCCGCCGCCAGGCAAGGAGACCACCCAGAGACCCAAGGAAGCATTTGCTCCAAACCCCGCCCGCACCAATGTCTTTGAAGACTATACATTCATATTCACCGAGCCTGCACAATTTGGCAACCTGCAGGATGTCATCGCGAACGGCCATGGAAAGGCTTTACTCTACGAAGTGGAACAGGGTGTTACGAAGGCTGAGGAGATTGTGCAATTTATGAGAAACACGGCTGGCGACAAAGGCCTTGGGAGTCAACGAGACGATGCTGGTGGCGTGGTGCTCGTTCGATACCGCGCCGGTGGACGCCACGAGGCTTGGTGGATCGAGCTGAGTCACGAGGTAGCTGTCATGACCGGCCAGCGTGTTATCGAACAGAGCGAGTTTCTCGATGCGATTCTGGGGAACGACGCTTCTCCTCTGTGTCGGACTCTACCCGAATCCAGCGCGCCTCAGGGAACGGGACCCTCCCCCCCACAATCCCAGCCGGCTGCTACTGCCGACGAAGTCCCAATGGTCGAGGACTCGCAGCCTTCCGAGGACGCAAGCCGGCAAGCGACGAAGAAATCCAAGCCCCGAGTTCGGGGGTTTGTCAGTAAAATGAAGACGTTCGACGACGGCTTCGACATTAATTCTATCCCTGCTCATGCTCCCGATGACGTCGCGGATTCAACCCCCTTGATTGATATGGAGCCTCCGACCCCACAGCAGTCACAAGTCCAGAGTAGCCTCCAGGAGGAGGAAGATATGGTCTCTAGCCTACTGCCTGGTGCCCGAGCAATGAAACGTCGACGCGCGGAGATAGCGCAGAGGGGCGTTGATGAATCGGTTTTGGAGACTAAACAGGAGCCCGTGCGGCGGGCAAAACGCCAGAAACTGGACGTACTAGAGGCAGCACGACAGCATCGGGAGGAGGAAGATGCCCAACGCCAGCGCCTGGCGGAAGAAGCGACCCTGCAGGACTCGCTCCAGGATGTCAACGTGGAGCAACTTAAGGGCCTTGCGATCGTAGAGGAGATGGAAGTAAAACCGAGGACCACTGGCGAAGATGACCGTCGATGGGACGATAGGTGGAATGGACGCAAGAACTTCAAGAAGTTCCGAAGAAAAGGGGACCCTAGTCAGCCTCGCTATCGCATGCAGACGGTGATTGTTCCGCTGGAGGAGGTGACGCGAAAGGCCTTTGGCATTGGGGACCATTACTGGGTCAGCAGTCGCAAGTCCCGAGAGGCCAGTCCCGCCGACAGCCCAGCGGAACGGGAAGTCAGTCAGCGCGAACCTGCGGCATCCCGTTCGCAGTCCTCGGCCCGGGCTAAGTCGGAGACGCCCGCGCCCAGGAGCCAGACCAGAAATCCGCCGCTGCACGAGAAACGGGCGCGTGAAGAGCGGGATTCAGACAGCGACGAAGAGCTTCGGTTCCGGTTCCGCCGCCGGCGCTGAGTTCGTACTTAGATCCCTCGATGACGAAATTGCTTTTCTCGGGATTTTGTACTAGGGTAATCGGTCAGCAGATCCATGACAGCGGGAGTCCGTGAGCCCACCACCACATGGCAAGTGGTGGGAGATATGAAACGGAATGATGCGATGGTGCTCTATCTAGATATTGGATAGATTCACTGTTGTGGGGATTCGCATGCGGGGAAGCCGAGTATCCATTCCAAGGAAGTGGGTATGCTGGGTGTCCCGATGACGCTGTTGGGCACAAAGTATAAACACTCAGCACCGTATCCACTGCAGCCGGATGATGTGCGGTGAACAATCACATTCAATACCATTGACCCATGTATCGCAAGTGAATTCCACTGTTCCTGGGAGGATTAGGATAGAATAAGAGGGCCGATCCGGTGAAGGATGACAGGCTTTTAGCTGGTCTGTGCAGTTCCTGGAGCCGCGCCCACTGGAGCTTCCCGTTTGAAAAGCGTTTCAAGGCCCCAGCCAGAGCCGGCTCGGTGCTTTACCTGAAACGTCCTTCCTTGGAGGATTGTGTATCAGTATCTAGTGTCTACACAGTAGTGTCCGGTAGTTTTATCTACACTTGGATTCTACAGATGCTATTGCTGCCTGGTGACCAGGGACGGTGGCATGAGGATAGTCTGTCGCAAGAGTCCCTCGAGGCAGGAAAAGTCTCGCGCAGCTGATGGTGGTGTGATCACCCAAGATTGGGAAGGGAGCGTGACCAGACTCCCCTTCGAGGCAAAGCCTGTCTGTCTGTGTTCCCGCCCGGCGTAATAATGACCGGTAACACCCCCGTACCAGGGCTCCCTCCCTCCCTCTTCACGGCCAAACACTTGCGCTGGGGAACTTTCCCTTTTCCCCCCGTCATCCTCGTCATTCTTGTCTTTTCTCCTCTTCCCTTCTTTTCCCTCCCCTCTTACTACTACTACGACTCTATTCTTCCCTTCTCGCCTGGCCGCGATTGCTTTCTTTACTCTCCC